TCTGGCAATTTTATTTTACAACAATTTTTAAATTAAAATAACAAAAACCTTATTTATTACATCGATGGTAGGCAATAAAAACCTCGTAACTCCATTTGTTTTTGTGGGCCACATAACTCCAGTCTCTGAGCTATATACGCCTGAAATATTACCTCTGTATGTTTAACTTATAAATGATTACGAAATTGTACAACTATTTGTTAATAAACTCTTCTTTTTTCATTGTAATGTTTAAAAGATGGAGACACGAAATTTCCATTGCCTTCTAACAAAATTAACGTTATGCTCATGATTGAATGTAAAACTTTTCATAAATTAAAAATAATGTTGTTATTTTTTGGACATTAATTGTATACAGGATGAGCGGGAAAACTGACACTAGATACGCTCAATTAATCTCTTATTGTTTCTGTGGGTCACCTTTTGCAATAATTTCAGGAAGGAAAACTTACAACCTAAGTCTCCATTGTACAACACAAGGATCGAATGTTTATTGTTTGTATTGCGATTTGCTCTGACACTTCTCGATTTAAAGGTTTTCTGAAATTCGGAAAGAACGTTAGATGACTTTTACGATGATAACTAATAAACGTAAAAAATTAAATATACATTTTAATTTTTATACACACTAGAGCCCGGTTGACTTTAATTTTACTACTTTTGAATAGTTAAACAGTAGTTTACAGAATTTTCGTTGCACCAATATTGATCAGACTTAACAACGTGTTCGGTTATCATAACTAACTAATCTAACGTTAGACCTTGATCAAATCATTAAACGGTGTTAAAGTGTAGCCTTGTATACGGTTACTTTCAACAACAAACAGATATTTTATCATTCTGAGAACACTAGTGTACTGATTTTGTTTTGTCCGTTTTTCAAGACGGCTATAAATATGATTTCATATGAAGAACTATTCTGCTGAAGAAAAATATTGTGTTTAGATTAGGACTGACTAAATCTTATAAATCTATTTTCCACTTTCAGAAAAATTGCTCACTCTTTCTCTTTTTTCCATCGACTTTACAATAATTAACAGCCGATAATCAATGAAATAACCTTACACCTCTCTAATTGTAAATACCAAATTTTAGACGCCAGTGGATGAAAGGTTACATAATATAATCCAAGTTCTTTTACAATCACCGGTTCTTGTTATATGCTTTCGTAAATAGCACCATCTCATCGTAACCTATATGTAATTTATTTACGAAAATGCTCGGAATTGGGACGTTTTCAATCAGGAAATCGACAAAATTTGTCTACTTAATTGGGTACTAAAATCTCATGAATATCCACTTGCTTTCCATTTGAATCGTAAGATAATATGATCACAAAATCTAAAACAAAAGGGTGCTCTACAAAAATATTATACCGTTTGGCCTATATAACCTCAATATTTTGACACATTGAAGGTAGAGGTCACGCCAAACACCCAATATTCTTGTATCCCACATTTTATCTCGATTAAATGCCAATTATCTTCCAAATTATCTCAAATTCAAGTGGATCAAATTATATCCCAATTCAAGTGGAGAGCAAATCGGTGTTGGTGAGTTACCTGATTAAATAGACCAAGTTCCCCGATTTTGAGATTCAAAACACCCCGATTGCAAGAATTTACGTATATCAAAAAGTTTTAGGTTACGATGAGATGAAACTTATTCACGAAGTTTCAGGCAGATTTTAATAATTTTATAAAAAATGGAGTCTATACCACAGACTAAAATGTAAACAAAAATTTAAGATCGTGGTCCTGCAAGCGGAACTTGTGGTACTATTTACCAAACACTGACGGCTGCTTAGAGGTTGCCACCATAACATAACCAGAGTGGAAATGTCAAGTTTCATTTCCTGGGGCCGGTTAGAAATAAATATGAAGTGATCCGGGTAGTAATCTAACTCACAATGTTCTTTATCCGGCACTCCGGAACCCACACCTTAACGTGGTCTGCCATCACGTCGTTTGGTCTGAATTTAGGTATAGGAGGAATGCTTTTCTCTCTTTTAGCGTTACCTTTCGGTCTTAACTCCCCTCTCAAGTTTCTTGTTTTATAATTAACATAAGCTATTTGCCTATCTAATTTTTTCTATAACATTTAAATATATTATATTAATTATTTTTAATTAAAATTAATATTGTAATTAATATTTATTTAGATTTTTTAAATGTACAAACGTTTTTTATGTAAATAAGAGCTTTTTCGGTTAAATATTATTTTTTTTCTTATTAGATTGTGTTGCCTAACATCAATGATTAGAGTTTTAACGAGCTTCAGCAGAGAAATATTGTTCCCTTGTTCGCCATCAAACATTCGGGCTCGTTATCTTTTGTTCTGATCGTTATATTTATTTAAAATACTGTTAATAAGTTGTTACTATAAGATCCATTAAACTTCAATTTTAATTTACTCACTGCAAATACTAATTTAATTTAATGACAAAAGCTAACTTTTCAAACCTAAACTAAATTTAAAACAAACTTAAAGGTCAAAGCGAATATTAGAACATTAACAAACGAATCATTGTTTCTTTTATCAATGACTATAACTTTTTAAATGTTATTTAATTGGTGGATATTGCATAATTGACGCATAACAAACTATTCTTCTATCAATAGAGATTTTTTTTTAAGTATAATAATAACTAAATCAGATTATCACGTTCTAATAACATATTTTTATTTTAAATTTCATATTTCTATTTGAGGAGAGGAGTAGATATCCAGTTTCATTCTTATAGAATTTCTTTTTATAAGTTAATGTAATGATTTAATGCTACTAAAAGAAGCTTTTTGGGAAGGAAAGAGGTCCCCAAAATAACAAACGTAACAGAGAGAGAAATCTCCCAATACTGATCTACTCAAGCGAGTCTTGGATCCTAACAAGAAAACATAAGAGCCAACTACAAACGATGAAGATGCTTTACCTCCATAACGTCGAAGATAAGACAAAGAGGGACCGAGTGAGAAATACCACTGTCCGATCCAATCTGGATCTGCAGGATGCAAAGGAAAAAAATATAAGAACATCAGCTATGGTGGTTCGGTCACGTTTCTCGGATGCCACAGAACAGATTAGCAAGGCTCACTTATGAGATGCATATGGGAGGTTGAAGACCTAGAGGGTGACCTAGGAAAACCTGAGAAAGTGGAATAAAGGAGGCCATTGAAAGAAGAGGATTGAATTTGTTGAAAAGAAAGCTATTGGTACAGAATAGAGAAGTGTGGATCAAGCTTTAAAGAAGGCACACACTGCTTAGCCGTAGACGAGGATGGATAAAGTAAGTAAGTTAATGTAATGTAAGGTGTAGAAGAGGTAAGGCGATCGTTTAAAATGATACTATCGACTTTACGATTAGTTACTGCCTTTAATCTAAAACATTTTTGTTACCATATTCTATTTTGCTGATATTACTGTTCGCCATGTTGACAATGTTAATTTTGAATGTTTATTATAAACTTGAGTTTTTTCCAGTTTCTAAAATTGTATCTATATATCTAGAAGCTATTGTTTCCCTAAAATTGATTTAGTACTCACCAAGGGAGACCTATTGTTCCAACAGGACTAACCTTCGAATGAGGTATTCAAATAATTCAAATATTCATGCTAAGAAAGAGCTGTCACATTTAGTCCGGGACTTTTTATTTGAAATAAATTCTTTATCTCCGCTTCCTCAAAAAGGAATTCTTTTTGTTCCTCTCGTGATTAGGGTCGGTGTTCGCTATGTTGAAGTAATAAAATACATTATATCATAAGTTAATATCATTATTCCTATACAACGCTATTATATAAAGTGCTGCTAGAAAAAGTGGAACAAACATTTTAACCTCTCTCTCGCTCTCTCTCTCTCTCTCTCAAAATCGGCGAGAATCGACTAATTGAAATGTTTTTACATATTGATTCAAATATCTCAGAAACTAAAAGTCGGGCCTGGATATTCTAAGCGAGGAAATCGTTTATCATTTCATCGTCTGTATAATGGGCTATGTTACATTTTGGAGTGTTGAAATTTTATACGGGATTATTGATGATAATTACCCAGAAATGTTTAATAAAAATTAGTGAAATAAATTTGGATCTATAATATATTTGGTCCATGATTAATTAATTGGATTTCTTTTCTCAAAGGCTGGTGTAGGTTTATCTTCCTAATTAACAACATTACCTGTAATCATCGCGATATAAATAGGTGGCAGAATTAAATTAACTTTTACTAAAACATTAATTTATTTCTATGTCAATTGAATAAGGAACATATAAAAACTATATTTACAAGAAACTAAATACGTGATACAATGAATTTAATAATTAACTGTGAAGATATGATTTCAGATGGACTGTTTTGACAGTTGTATTGCCATGAAATATTCATAACATATTTCATGGTAAATTTATTGTTGGGAATAAAACTTATCTATTGTATATGAAACTATATATATATATATATATATATATATATATATATATATTTATTTATTTATTTGACGCGAAACAGCCCTGAAGGACTACGCGACTATCATACTGGTTTCTTTTTCAATGTTTTCCTTTCTGCTATATATATATATATGTATATATATATATATATATATATATATATATATATATATATATATATATATATATATATATATATATATATATACATAAAATTTAATTTAATTAACAAATTTTTCTATTATATTTTATAATACATGGATACATGAATGAATAGCTTCGTGAGATGTCAAGAGCAACTTTTTTTCTTTCGGTATAGAGATGATTTTGTTTTTCCATCCTGATGATGCTTAGATAAGCATTTTAAAATATTCTTTTGGGAACTTTTTCCATACAGTTGTCAATAGGAGGCATTGCTCTTCAATCTATGAAAAAATGAAACTTTTAAATCAACAAGGAAGCTTATTATTTACATTTAAAGCCTAACCTGTCCATTACTGGGCCCCCCGTTGATAACTGGTGCGTTCACCCTGACTATACTATATATGAGTTTACTGTTGCAGACCAGATATCACGGCGATCAGAGGATCGCAGACCAGAGCTTCGATAGCAGCCCCAGTGGCCAGGGTCACAGAATCGGATGCTATGAGGAGGCAGACTTCGGTCACTGATGGAGAAGCCATCAAGATAGTCATACACGATGTCGACTGTGATGCGTCTTTCGGTAAAATTAGTTACTGTTCCATTTAGAATACATAATATGAGTAACCAACAGGCTTACAAAGTCTGTCATTTTAAGTTCATTTATTTCTTCGAAAATCTGCGGTCATCGATTTTTGAGGTAATGCCTATGGAATTTAAAGGACAAAGCGGTAATCTATTTACTATTGGTTCTAGTAACTCGTGAATACCAGGAATCCTTTTTTAGCTCTTCCTGGCCTCCAAATGACCATTGTTACGAACAGTTTTATGAAAGGATCCATTGACCTCTAAATTTTACATTACAAGACATTCAGTTCCAGTCATACATTTTCACTCTAACTATGAAGTTCAACAATCATCAGGAGTTTTGATCAGTTATGATATAACTGACATTTTTAAAACTTTTTTAACAACTTTTCAATGTACAGAACTTATTTTTTAAATTACTAATTTAATTGTTGTTAATAGAGTGTGAATGTGATCTGTGAACACTATTATAAATGTCCTAGAGACAGCTTGTAATATTTTTCAATAAAATAAAAATTTTTGTTAATAATTATTTAAATTAGCAACTGTATTAGCTAAAAATACAACTAGTAAAGTTGAATTGGTAATATGACGTGTACAACATGAAGAGAAGCTATCCGCTGATTGCACACCAGTTATACAACAGAGCTATTGTATATTAGAATGTCCCCAGGCCATTTTTTTCAGAACTTTTATTTTAGAAGTTCTGTTGAAGCGAATCATTTCACTGAAAAGTCAATCTAAAAAATGTTAATTCAGCCGTATTTCTTAAATATATATTCTTAAACATAATTCGTGAATAAAATATTCTTGAACAATAAAACAAAAAATATATTCTTAAACAAAGGATGAAATGGAATCAGATCTTTTATTTAGAATAAATTGTATCTCTAACCTAAGCTCAATTACTGCTTAGTTACATTTAATTTTTATTAAATGTAACTTTTTTTTATGAAACTATATAAATAAAAGTTAAACTTTTACCAGGAACCAAAAATACAATAATTTTCTTCAGAACTTTAATTTTAAAAATGATTTCCTAAAACGTTATATAGAAACTTTTAAAGAGATACTTCTTAAAATGTTCGACCACTGTCTTTAATTCTTGGACCAATCCAAAAATCAGGAGTGTTCAGAAGGAGGTTGCATGACGGCATCAAAATATTTGAGGGCACATTATTACGGGATTAAGAATTTTTGTGGAGTTTCAATATGGTAAAAATTCTAAATCAGAAAACTAGGGGGAAATCGTGGAAAATAGTGTAATTGTATATCATCTACAATTTTTTCTAATTCTACTTTCGCTTGCACTGTTATTAAGAACATGAGAGAAATTAAATAGATGGTAGGAGAGAAATTCATGCTCCATCAACCTGGTGGGAGATGGGCACCTCTCTCATTATTTATCACAATATCGTCTGCAAATTTAGGTTGTTGCATCTGTCTTTTATATTTACATAAATTCCCTTATTTTCCCTTAACAATGGTGCGTTTACGAGCGCAGCCATATTAAGGTTTTCATTGCTTACAGGTCGTCTTCGCTTCTCAAGATTTCGAAAAAAAAAGGTGTGGTTTTAATGAGAACAGAAGTTCATAATACTTAATTCCTCGAGAATTAAGTACAACGAAGCATTTTTATTGTACCTCCTCTCATTATTGATGTAAAAATTAACTTTCTTTTAGCATCTATTACTCCAGTCAATGAATGATTATAGAAAGAAATGGCGGCACAATTTTTTACTTTGGGAAATTGTTTGGACTAGTAAGTAAAAGTCCAAGTGGTAAACATAGTAAAAGTCCCCGCTCTTAGGTTGTGAACCAGATATGGGAGAAGCGCTTAGGTCACTTTTTTCGAGTTATCGCTTTTATCAGGAAAACTATCCATCGCATTGACAAAGACAATACAAAATATAGCTGATAAAACTTGCAATATGATTGATTATAAATTTTTCTTCGATATCTCACTTAGTTTCCGATACATCGGTCCTCAACTATCGCTAATGTGGAAAAAAATATTTTTGCCTCATGTTTTTTACTGTATTTGACTAGCTAACTCTATATTGCCTCTTTCTAAGATAAAGTCTTAAAAAAAATTAATAATTAAATTTTCTTCAAGAATATATGTTATTTTACTAGTTCATCTTCAACGGTTCAAAAGTTAGATCAATTATAGCTTTATATGTCAATTCTGAGAATTTGCAGAAAACATTTAATATATACATATATATATATATATATATATATATATATATATATATAATATATATATATATATACAAACAATGAAACACTTTCTCACATTTTTTCCCACATTGGAGATAGTTTAGGACACGGGCGGATCTACGGAAGGGGGGGGGGGCTTACGGGCTGAAGCTCCCCTCCGAAATGCTAAAGTATAACCATGTTTTTTCGAAAAAAATATTTAAAAAGTATCTCTTAAAGTGTTATTGTTCGTGTAATTACATTTAAAGGGGGTTTAGGAATCACTTAAACACCATTTCATATAGGTAGTTAGCTTCTTTCTTTTATTCCAAAGTAATTATCGTTATTTTTATGAAAAAAAAAAACTATCGGGCTGAAGCCCCTCCCCAAAATTAAATCCTGGATCCTCTAGTGGTTGAGGACAGATATCTCGACAAAAAAGCGAGATAGAGAAAAAGATACATAATCAATCATACTGAAAATTTTACCAGCTTTAATTTGGTATAAAATGTCTCTGCCGATGCGATGGATAGTTTTCCTGATATAAGGAATAACTCGAAAAACAGCAATAAACGTGATGCAAAATTTTATTTTTAAATTAGCCGTAGTTAAGGACGGATATCTCGGAAACTTCTTGAGGTAGAGAAAAAAGGCATAAACTCAATCATATTGCAAATTTTATCAGCTTTAATTTTTTATGGAACGTCTTTGTCGATACGATGGATAGTTTTCCTGATATAAGCGAAAACTCGAAAAAAGTGACCTTCTCTGCGTCCTACAAGGCGTCCTCCACATTTGGCTCTCCATCTAGGAGTGGGGATTTTTAATATGTTTACCCTCTTAGTGGTCCAAACAATGTCCCAAAAGTCAAAATTTGTGTCCCCGCCATTTTCTTCTATACCCCCTTTTCGAGCAATCATTGAATGGACTAAATATGTTCGTGTAACATATAAAACCCTAACCTAAAGGCTGATTTTACAGATTGTGTCAATAAAATCACTTTATATTTCAATTTGTATATATTTAAATGAAGGATTATCATTATCATGTTTATGTATATTATCCTTGCAAATCTATTACTGGAATATTACCCGGGAGTATGATGAGAGGGAGCGATGGCGATGCATTAGGGGGGTTTAGTGCCCTAGTTATTTCCTGAGACGCCCTCGCTATCTGGCACAAGGGCGGACCATTTTGACAAATAGGGATCATATAATGGCCGAGAGAGATAAGAAGGGGCTGTAGCCATTCACAGAACGAGGGAGGGGAGATTCGTGAGGATTTTCTTCTTTCAATCTGACATATGTCATCGTATCTAAGTTATATGCTTAACTTACATTGAGTTGTCAAAGAAATTAATTATATGAAATCAAATTGGTTTTAAATTTAAAAAGCTACAAAACCGAGGAATTGTGAATGAAAATCTGGCAAGTGATTTTCATTACTTATGCACTGACTGATGCACTCACTGATTTTAAAATACTTATGCAGTCTCATATAAAAGATTTATGTAGAGAAATTAATAAAAGAGATTACTTAAATAAATATTCAACTTAATAAATAAATATTCTTTTTAAAATTGTTGGTTAGAACTTCAACTTTATTTGTAATAATAAAAAATATATTTGATCCTTAGTCCTATTTTAATTTTGTTTCTTTACACCAAACGTTTCAGCCCCTTAGGCTATTATCAAACAGTTTAAATTAATTTAAACAAACATTACCTAATGAGGTTATAGACAAAAGCATGTGACAAGAGCAAATTTGTCCAAATAATTTTATTCTTATTTTATAAAGTAACGTTTGTAAATATATAATGGATTATAAAAAGTAAATATTTAGTGTAATTAGGCTGTGATGTTTGTTTTGTTTTTTTAAAAGGTTCCTTCGCTTGAAAATGACCCGGGGATTAAACGTTGGATGTAAAGAATAAAAAATAAAGTAAATAAAGAGAAATTGATAGCGATGAATATTTAAACTTGGAGTAGATGCCGGGTTTCTTCCACACGAAGTACCTTCTAATCAAACTCAAGCCTGACGAATTGTTGGATTGTTGGAATGTTGGATTGTTGGATGACCGACGCCAAGTTAAAATATTCATCACTTTCAATTTCTATAGTAGTAGACCATAACTTTCTTAAAAATCTACTAATGCTTTTAAATAAATATGAACTGCATTCCATCAGGATGGATTCTGTAGACATTTTTTTAAAAATTAAATTAATTTTTTTATTATTGTTTTTAGATTTTCAAGCATTGCCAATTTAAATTCAGCACATATCGTAGAAACCATGTTAAAGTAACAAATGTAATCTTTTCCCAATATAAACTTTCGATTACGATGAAAATTCTTAAAAATGACATTGCTGATTCTAGTCTTCCGATTCCTGTTAAAATTTGACATGTTTCCACAAGATGGATCTTATGGTAAACGAACGAAATTGAAATTTGAGATTACTAAATATATATAAATATATATTACTAAGATAATTATTGATAATAAAGAGAAATGTTCACTGTTTTGAGCCTATAATGTTTCGAAACAATCACAGGACCTCACTGAATAATTTTGGCCATCTTAAAAATCGGTCAAGCCTTTCGCTCAAAAAATCATTACTTACCGTTTAGTGGATTTATTAAATACATTTTATAAAATTACGTCAGCATTTTGGGCCTAAATTGTCACTTCAAGTACAGCCATTTGTTAAAAAATTCGTTACATGCAGGAGTCAACTCAAACACATAATTCTTAACTTAAACTCCTTGTGGCTTCGCCTTATTCGAATAAAAATGTGAAATAAAAATAATAATATTGAATTAGTTTTTTATTTAAAAACGTAGTTATATAGTTTTTAAAAAAAATTATAAGGAACTAGCCAGTTTAACAATTATTTCATTTTAGCGGTTATTATTCGATTCAGGATTACAATGTGAAGTTCCTTTTACTTGCAAGTTCTAGTGATATATTAAAGTAAAACTCTTCTCTTCTGTTGAATTAAAAGCTATGGTGAGTATAATCATTTTTAAGATATTTTCTAAACCAGTAGCTAACATTTAAAATGTGTAATCTCTCAAGTGCACATTCTATTTTATCTAATTCGAGAATTCTTTTCTAAGGTTCCAGAACTACTTCAAAGAGGAGAGTCAATTTGAGAAGAGACCCTACAGACAAAGCCCACAGGAGTAAGTAATGACAGTTTTAATATGTTTACTCATGTTATAAACTCATATTTAACGATAATTACTATGTTAATTATCGATAATTACTAACGATAATTTATATGTTTATATATGTTATAAACACATATATAACGATAATTACTTTTTTAAAAAAAGGCGGGCGAGGTGGCAAAACGGGCTAACGCGTGTGTACACAGTACCGTACGTTGCCCGGCAACCTGATAACCAAAGTTAGAGATAATAAAATTACGAGTCCGCAACCTGGTGCCAAGGAGGTATTTTAACATGGCATTAATCCTCCGCCCTCATCCACTAATCCTGTACAGCCTAAAAGGCGAGAAAAAAAATTAATAAAAAGAAAGATACTAACTACTTCTACGAAATGGTTTTTAAATGATTCTTGAAGTTCTATTAAATGTAATTGCACGAACAATAATACTTATACTGCATACGTCCGCCTGTGCTTACAATTAGTAACATTATTAAACTGTTTCTCCGGGTAATGTGGGATTCTCTCGAGTTTTCATTTAGATAGAATGATTTTCATGATATAAAATAACTACTTGTTTAATTGTAAAATTAATCTTGGTTTTTTCAGGATATAAAGATAGAGTGGAGATTGGAGCGAAAGATAGAGTGTTTAATAAAAAAACGTTTCAAAATTTTCTTGTTCTTTATCTGGGACGCATGCCCCTTTCGTCTGGATCCGACAATGTTTAAACCATAAAAAGTGTTAATTAAGATACATAAAAAATCTAGAGGATCATTTTTCTGTAACTTTAGATAGTAAATAGAACGACAATTTTTCTACCTCGTTCTACGACTTGTTTTTGGATAATTGCACAACTTAGTTTCTGTTCATCCTCAACTGACACTTGGAAAAAGTTTAGTTGTAGAAAACACACAGTTTTCATATGATTTGTCATCTGTCAGTTTGTTTCTCGTTTAGAAACTGAAGATAGCGGTTGGCAAAAGTAAGATTTTTAAGTCTCTTCTGAACAGAACTAAGATTGAGAAAGTGCGGAGAAGGAAGAGCTGGGATTACACTTAGGGAATTAGCAGGGAGGACGCCCTAACAGGTTTAGGATCTGTGTAAAACCTGGTTCCTAATGGTTAAGAGATTGCTAACCTTCGCCCAATCCTTGCTCCCCTAACGGCTAATTACCCCATCCTTTTACAAGCCCTCTCCGCATTGGTTGTATTTTGAAGAAGGCCATTGGCGACAAGTTATATCGATGACCTCATTACTTTTTATTTTGCTTTTCCATCTTTGCTCCCGCATTATATTACAATTATATCTATTAAAATGTGTCTAATGATGATTTTTCCTGTTTCTCTTTAACCTAAAATGTATTTTTTTTTTTTTTTGTAATAATATCTTGGCGTAAATTTTCATGAAGGTTATTATTTATGGAGATGTTCAGCAAAGCTAAATAATGATATAATAAAAAAATAATTATTTATAAACAACCTAGTTTACATCAAGTTCTCGTGTCCGAAAAATGCATAAAATGTGATTATTTTTTTTAAAAAACAACATAAAGGTTGAACAGCTCCTTATGAAAATTTTGCTTGTGCGAAATTAAGAGAAATCGTCCAATATTGCATTTATTCGATTTCTATTAAAAGTGCCAAGGACTGGACATACAGACTTTTTTGCATAAGGCATTGACTAACCCATAAAGATATCTGTACATGAATACAGATATGAACGCAGCGAATGAGCTGTTATAATAGTTACTTTTGATGAATGGAAAATAACTGTCATTTCATTACAACTGTTATTAGAATGTAAAAATATTTCTGAGTTCATTTTTTTCAACAGCGAGAGGATTTGGAATGCGAGTTGTCGGAGGAAAAGTTGGACTAGATGGTCGGCTCTTCGCGTATATTGTTTGGACCGTTCCAGGTGGCCCTGCAGAGAAGGGAGGACTTCAGCAAGGCGACAAGGTATAGTATTTTATTTTATTATAAACATAAGAATTTTGACTATTAAATAACTAGAATGATGCTGTGAAATATTCTACTTTTATTTCATACATATTTCCTTATTATCAATTCCAATATACATATCTCCTCCATATCTACAACACTCCATACGAATCTTCCATAGTCTGAAACAGTGACGGAAGTCCTCGGTACCGCTTTCTCTTTCAGCAAGAACATGAATGTAGTAATGTTGATTAATACTTTAACCCAGTGAAGATACATAACTCGATATTGAAAAAAACAAACATCATTCCTTTGAATTTTGATTTGCTGATTGGATCGTTTTTGGTAATCGGTAAAGTTAGTTCTTTCTGGTGCATAAAGTTAGTTAGTTATACCTGGTTCATGGGTTAGCGCTTCGTTTCATGGGGGCTTTTAACTCTGGAATTAATCTTCCTCCGTTATCTCTGGCCTGGGAAAATCTCGTATAGCCTAAAAGGCGAGAAAGAAGAGGACAAAAAAAAAAAGTTTCAGAGAATGGAAGATTCATATTTTAGGTATAGAGCAGGGGTATATATTGAAGGAGATAATAAGTAAATATATATGAAATATAAACAAAATCTTTTGCAGCATTAGTATCGTTATTTAATCACCACAACTCATATACCGATGTATATTATTTTATGATGTAGAGATGGTTGACCGTGATATAATATGAGAAGGAGTTGATCGGGGATGCGGTCAAATAAATACTAAATTATACAAATAGTATTATTTAATTTTTGCCGATGTTTCGACCCACTTTGCAGGTCTTCATGAGGACGTAGGATGTAGCACTGCGGGAGGCAGTTGAAACACTGCTGGATATAACATATAATAACTGTATAAAACACTGCTGAAACACAGGCAGTGTTTCAACTGTCTCCCGCAGTTCTACATCCTACGCCCTCATGAAGACCTGCAAAGTGGGTCGAAACGTCGGCAAAAATTAAATAAAATAATACTATACTATTTGTATGTATGTACTATTTGTATGTATGTACTATTTGTATGTACTACTAAATACTATTTGTATTATTTAGTATTTATTTGACCGCACACCCCGATCAACTCCTTCTCATATATTATTTTATAATCTTTATTTTTAACTATTCGATATTTATAAAAAATTATTGGTTCACTTAACAGAGCCTAATTGATAAGTTTGATGCCATTCTAATGTCAGGTTTTGGAGTGGGGTGGTGTATCATTGGTCGACAAGACATTTGAAGAAGTTTGTTCCATCATGGACAGGACTGGGGATTCAGTCGAATTACTCGTTGAACATGGGAACGATTTGTAAGTTTATTATTTTTAAATATACCTTAAAATTATTTTGACGTTCATGATAATGCAAAAACGTTTTATTTTAGATTTCTTGGAACAGACCTGCGGAGATGAAATGGTACTCAAATAGCCAAAAAATTGAAGTTTTTCTAATACTTGTAAACTTTTTTTTTTTTTGCTGACAGGCATTTTAGTACCATTTTGTTGTTATAATCTTTCATAATCTCTGAGGCAATAAATCGAGAGTTGGTTAACTTATACCACTTGCAAAATTACATAAAATAAATTTTGAATTGTTTAACAGGAGGATGTGTGACTTACTAGATGAACCGACTCCTTCGACAGCAAGAAAAAACTCCGGGGAAGGTCTCTCCATCGGCCTCGGTAGGTCAAAACCTCGAGTACTTCAGTAGTGCAAACTATCAAACAAAACTCTGCTTAAATTTAAACTTCCAGCAAATCCTCATTATCCAAATCCACAAACTCACCCAATATTGAATTTAACTGAATAATAAACTTTGCCAGTAGGGTAATGCAAATAGGGAAGGGAAGACGTAAAAGGAAATAACTTGTCTGTTCGCAGAAGGCGATGTGGACAAATCTCCAGCTTCCCCGACGAGAAGGAAACTTCCAAAAACTCCGGTATAATGAAGCCGCATCCGGTTGCGTAGATCGCTCTGCATGCCATATCCTTCTTACTCACGCCCGTTGAGTCATTTTAAGTTGAGAGAGAGGGGCTTTGCGCTTCTGCTTGCTTTGAGTTTTGGACTCGAACTTTAAAGTTCGGTGTTTACGGTTTTCTTTTCACATTTCATGATTCGTTTTAGTTTTTTAATTATTTGTTTTGTATTGATCATAAGTTACATAAATTATTTTTTATTGCATTAATTTATCAGCAAATGTGTTTATTATAACTACTTTATATTTATTTTTACTCCTTCTGAATATTTTTTTTTTTTTATCTCCATATACCTGTTACAATTTAAGTACCGACCCTCTTATTTTAAAAAATAAACTTTAAACGGGTTCAATTTCGTGTTTTTGTCTAATTATGTTTCCATCTTTGCATGTACAATTATCATAATCTATTATAAACTGAAACTCTCTATAATTCCAAGCTTATGTAAGTCCTATAAAAAAATATATTAATAAAATGCACCAATGATGATTTAATAAAGATAATTCTCATTTTTTTTTCAATTTTTTCATTCTTTTATTTATAATTTTATTACTCAAACAAATATGTATTATAATGCAAAACTGCTATTGTTTACAGAAACTGTGAGAACGAGAACCATAATTTGTACCGATTTATTAATATCAATTGTTTTTCTCTTTTGTTTGTTTTTTATCATACAAATACATCTCTCTCGATTTCCTTATATTTTTTGTTGTGCAAAAATTTTTTAATTTGTTTTGTATCTGGTTAATGTCTTCATCGCCAACGTTCTTATTATAGATGGAAAACCTGGTTTCTTTTATTTGCACAACCATGCTCCCAATTAAAATACTTTCCTAGTTCACCAATAAAATGTTGACTTCTAAAATAGGTTTAATGTTTAATGTTATTAAGATCTGCACATGGACGCATTTCCAGTGTTCGTTAAAATGTTGGAGCTAAATTTATCTCATGATTAAACTTTCCCTTTTAATTGATTATGATTCGACGTATGAAACAAAGAAAATCAATCCTTACATTATCTAAGCATGCCGCATTTCTCATTCAGATTTTCTTTACAAGTAATTCTACAACTTAGTTTTTTATCCAAGATGCCCTAGATTCAGTATGCAACCTAGCCATATTTCATATGTATTTATCCATAATATTGCATACTGATGTGTGAAAAAATAAAATTTAAGTTAAATTGGTTTCTCGTAAAAATATTATTGTTGGAGTGGTATCCTTTCTTTTGTTAAGATTTTGTTATAGAAAATAACGCAACATTATTTATTGAACAATTAGTTTTCTTCATTTTTTTAAGCTCCAAAATCTTGGAGAATAGAAATTTAAGGCTAACAGTTGAGAAAAAGGGCAACCAATGCATAATGGATAACCTCATTCTCTGAAACCAGCCTTCCTCTCTCAACTTAAACGACTTTTATTTGTTTCTCTGGGCCCAAGGGATAAACTCCCTGTTTGTTTTTTTGTCTTGTTTTTTTTTCTAATGAAAGGGGAAAATACTTAAATAAAATCAAATTCATTGGATTTAACGGGAAAAAAATATGGTCGGCACTTTTAAAACTTGTACCAACTAGAGTGTGTACGTAGTAATTGCTTTAATGTCGGAGTATTCCCTTAAAGGTTTGCCTTTTCTTTCTTGCCTAAAGTATAATTTGAACCTTTTATTTTCCACCCAACCCTGACTTAAATGCTTGCTAACAATCAAACGTATCTGTCATGTGTGTACTTATCCTCCATCCACATCAATGTTGGTATATAATCCGAAATACTTTTATCTTTCTATACTATTTGTACATGGCATATTTCCATCAAAACTAAGTAGGTTTATATAAAGTGTATTGTGTAAAACATTGTTAGCTCTAATAATATGTATTTTTAATATTAAAAAATTAATGTTATTGAGTGTTTAGAAAGTTATAATATATATATGTAACATGTTGCATTTAGCTCTTGTTCTCCTTGTATCTGTCCTTTGTGGCTTTAACATACTGAACTAATAATTATTAACCATACGTACTTAATCATAAGGGAAACCCATTAATTATAATGAAGCATTTTGACAAGAACTATCTGAATTTTAAGAATATCTGAAACCCATATGTATTCTTGTAGCTTAATGCGAATTTAGAATCCGAATTGAATTACGCTTATATCCCTCTCTTTAAATCACTATTATAAAAACATCATGCAATATTCTTCCATATTTATTTCAAGTACATTGGCGGTATCACATGTTTTAAGCTGCATTAATTATATAATTGGAATATGACTTGAATTTTAGATAGCTTAATGATACAATAACTCTGTTACATTCATTGTTTGGCATATTGTTAGCCAGAAATTTTGGCACAGTTTGCGCAAATCTTGCTATATTGTGTATTGAAATTGTTGTATTAATGGTAAATATATCCAAAGCTGGGACCAGTACAGTATAAATGAAGTAGCCCACTCTTTTTTTTTTAAACTTATATATTCTGCTCCTTCATATATCTTTCCATTTTTCAAAGATTTGAAATGCTTAAGTTTCCATGAGAGAGTTGTTTGTTTGATATTATTCAAAATTTTGAACACTGAAGCTAATCAGTCCAATTACAAACAATCTTATTGAAAAATCATTTGTCGACTGAATTAATATTTTAATTTTATTTAATCTCGTGTAAAGAAAAGTATTTTTACAGCTATTATGTTATTCTACCCCTAAATGTATAATTTTTCTTAATCTATTTCACAAACTTTTTATGATTTGCCGTCATAGATTGGTATTTATTATTTTTAAGATTTCAAAATAAAGTAAAAAAAAATCCAACATAAACAGAATTTCGAATTTGTGTTAATAATTTTGTAATTGTGCAACCCCAAACTTTTACTGCCTAATGGTTTAGGTATTTTAATTTTTATTCAAGAAAATCAATCTAAATTAAACACAAAATTTCTAATTGTTAAAAAAGTAATAATGATAAACATGCTCTGCTAAAGCTTGTGTGATGACAAATAAATTAAAATAATTTGAGGGGAATCATCATACTTTATCAAAATTATTTCTCACACGGTTATTTACAATCTATAAATCATTAAAAAACTTTTAATTCATCAAATAATGTTATTTTGTTTTTATTAAACAAATTCTGAGTTACCTATTGTTTTTTTTTAATTTTATATGATGAATAAAAGCCAATGAAAAACATGAATGTAGTTTTCCATGTCCAAACAATCTTACAGCTATTAACTTATGATAAAGTTTAAAAAAAGGAAATCTTTAATAGTGGTAGGTTATCTGATTTCAGAGTTTGGAGGAAATACTGAGAGAAAAAAAAAAATACAACATTAAAAAATATATCTTAATATATATATATATATATATATATATATATATATATATATATATATATATATATCAGAAATGTAACTTTCCACTGGGGCATCACTCTATACCCTAATATGGTATCATTTCCACCAGAAAACCAGTTTCCGTTTAAATTTAATTAAGATTTACACAAATTTTTGAAGTTATTTTATCATTCTCAGTTTTTTTTTATAATAAAACTATCTTTTATTTATTTATTATTTGGCACTAAGGTTCTACAAGTCCCAGGGCCTCTATCGTTATTCTTCTCCAGTCTTCTCTATCTCGAGCGAGCATTCTCCATCTCCGGATTCCCATCCATTTCAGGATGTCCTCCACCTTGTCCAGCCACCTCAGACGTGGTCTTCCTCTGCTACGTCTTACACCAGGTCGATCATCCAGCAGGTGTTTGAGAATGGAAACATAGAAACCTGGGCATACCTACCACATGGCCCAACCATCTGATTTGGTTACTTCTTACAATTAAGATCAAGTCCGGCCTTGCATAGATGTCGCGCAGCTCTATATTGGTGCGGATTCTCCACTGCTCATGCTCACACACTGAACCATAGATCCTGCAGAGAACCCTTCTCTCCCCTAAGAGTAGCTTGCTTTCTGAGGCCTTAGAGATTACCCAAGTCTCAGAACCATAGGCGACAATGGATCTTATGACTTTCTCGTACAGTGTGATTTTTGCCCTGTGAGAGAGGGAGTTATAATTTAGCAATTTTTTCATGGCTAGACAGCATCTATTTCCAGCAGCCATTCTTGTTTTCAGTTCTTCCGTCATATCATTACTTTCTGTAATTTGAACACCTAAATACTTAAAGGTTTCTACCATTTTGAGGGTGTGATTACCTAATGTGACACATTCCTCTGTTGCACTCAGTGTTCTTGAAGTTTGCATGTAAACAGTCTTCTTCTCATTTATTTGAAGCCCTAGTTCTTTAGCTGCTGTTTCAAATTCTTCGAGTGCCCCTGCTAAAGCTGTTTTATTTTTGCCGTTATTACCACATCATCAGCATAAGCTAGAGGCTGCGTCATCCTATTATAAATAGTTCCACCAGGAAACTTCCGGATCACCCTTATTGCATACTCTAAAGTAATATTGAATAGAGTAGGGGATAAAGGATCAGCTTGCCTGAGCCTATCTCTTACCTCGAAATCGTCAGACAACATACCATTCATCTTAACTAAGGATCTGCTACCATTTATGGTCATTCTTGCCAAAGTGGCCAATTTTTTGGGATCCCTAATTTTATCATAGCCTTCAGTAATTCTTCTGTTTATGATGCGGTATGCCTGTTTAAAATCTATAAAAATTGATGTACCTCTATTTGGTATTCGCATGTTTTTTCT